GTCAGTCAGTGCGACTATAGCTGTATATAATTATCTCCTGTGAGTCAGTCAGTGCGACTATAGCTGTATATAATTATCTCCTGTGAGTCGGTCAGTGCAACTATAGCTGTATATAATTATCTCCTGTGAGTCAGTCGGTGATGTCTCAGTCTTGAAACATTCCATCATGCGTGCCCCCCCAGTAGCACAGCGATATGTCTGCAGATTTACATTGCTAGAAACTGGGTTTTTATACCTGTGGTGGGCAGAGCACAGATAGCCCGTTGTGTAGCTTTGTGATACTGTTAATAGAGGGAACAAGATTGATATTTAACATAATAGTAACGGATATCCCTCTTCATTCACCCTCAGTGGGAGCACTGGGATGACGCAGATACATGTGATCTGTCAAGCTATTGAAGCTGTTAAATTTAACATTAATGTAACTATGATGTGAAAACCTACTGTTAAGTAAAGCTATTCATATAAGGGTTGAGGGTTTATAATAGTACACTCCACCTTTCATTACAGAGAGACTTACGATAACTTTGTACGAGAAACTGTTGTTAACTTGGGATTGAATGAAAACCATGATTTGGAATCGGGTGCTATGTTGGAGGACCACGTATGTTATCGTTTTTATTACATTATTTGCTTGTTATTTCAAGACTCTTAAAAGTTGTAAACATAATTGCATGCATGTTTCATCTTGTCACACCTATAATCTAAATTAAATAGGAACCAAGCTGTGTACGTGCATACTAGAATTATTTTCTCAGAATAGTTGTACGTAAAATACTGTTAAACACTGCAGTACGGTGAATGGAATCACTTACGTAAAATACTGTTAAACACTTCAGTACTGTGAATGAAATCACTTATGTAAAATACTGTTAAACACTGCAGTACGGTGAATGGAATCACTTACGTAAAATACTGTTAAACACTGCAGTACGGTGAATGGAATCACTTACGTAAAATACTGTTAAACACTGCAGTACGGTGAATGGAATCACTTACGTAAAATACTGTTAAACACTGCAGTACGGTGAATGGAATCACTTACGTAAAATACTGTTAAACACTGCAGTACAGGGAATGGAATCACTATAGTTACCTTTGTATATTTGTTGTTGTACTGAATCGTTCAGACTTTGACACTAGGTTGTACCCAGTGGCTCAACGGTAAGTCTGAGGGCTCACACTGTTGGTGGGCATGATAGAGATAGCCTATTGTGTCTAGCTGACTCTAGCTTCATCTTGGGGGTTTTCAGGCTTTCTGTATTCTTGAAAAACGTTATTTTATTTGGCTTATTTTTGGTAAGGGTTTGCTTTGTATCATGTTTCACTTTATTTAATTTTAGGCTATTCATTAACAAGTTAGCTCTCACAATAACACACTTCTTAGAATTATAATTTTTTTTATATTTTATGATCATATGTTGGAATAATTTTGCCTTTGTTATTTCAAAAACATTAAATAAGCAGTTATGAAACTACAGGCAAACAAAAGACTCAAGATATTAAAATAACTCAACTCTAAAGCACACTGTAAACACTGCCATGGATTTGAATCGTGCCTGCTCATGGATTCCATTTCTTCGGACAGAACTGCATTCATTATTTGAAGACTTCTGTAGCTCAACATGTAGTATAATGTAGCCTAATTCACATGCAAACAAATATTGTGTATTTCACTTATTTTCTTATTTAATTATAAGATGTTTATTGTTGTTCATGATACAGTTTATAGTATTTGTAATGATTGAAATGTATTTTCTAGCCTTTAAATCCGAATCCAGAGAGTAAATGGGTAACATTCTTCAAAGATAATGAGGTCTTGCTTCAGATTGATAAAGATGTCAGGTATGTAGGAAGTATAACATTGATCTAATTCAAATTATTTCACCCTTGTACATCAATATCCTTGTACTAATTCTCTTCTGTCAATACCCTCGTACTAATTCTATTCTGTCAATACCCTCGTACTAATTCTATTCTGTTTACTACCCTCGTACTAATTCTCTTCTGTTACTACCCTCGTACTAATTCTCTTCTGTCAGTACCCTTGTACTAATTCTCTTCTGTCCGTACTCTCGTACTAATTCTATTCTGTCAATACCCTCGTACTGATTCTATTCTGTCAATACCCTCGTACTGATTCTATTCTGTCAATATCCTAGTACTAATTCTCTTCTGTCAATACCCTCGTACTAATTCTCTTCTGTCAGTACCCTCGTACTAATTCTCTTCTGTCAGTACCCTCGTACTAATTCTCTTCTGTCAGTACTCTCGTACTAATTCTCTTCTGTCAGTACCCTTGTACTAATTCTCTTCTGTCAGTACCCTTGTACTAATTCTCTTCTGTCAGTACCCTTGTACTAATTCTCTTCTGTCCGTACTCTCGTACTAATTTTCTTCTGTCCGTACTCTCGTACTAATTCTCTTCTGTCAGTACCCTTGTACTAATTCTCTTCTCTCAATACCCTTGTAGTAATTTAAAACTATTGTATTCTTACTTTCTGATAGCCATAAACGTACGCTGCAGTTTGACCTATTCATGAAAATGTTTGGCTTTAAAAAATCTTTCTTTTCTTTTCA